AAACCTTCAGCAACTGCTGAGCTGTCCCTGATATTCACTCAGATCCTGTCTCCTCAAGGAATGGGTGGCCCAGGGCTCCATACCTTCTGTAGACTTACTATCCATGGGGCATGAGATTCCATCAGAATTTTGGCTCACTGGGTCTTCTGTGTTTGTGGTGCTGGCTTCCCAAGCAAGCCAGAGATAAAACAATTCCATCTTAAATAATGTTAAAGTAAGTAGGACGTCAACCTATATAGTAGTATTAAAGCATCAGTGGCCTGGGCTCTGTCTGCCTCCTCATCCACATACAGTCCTGAAGCTGGGTCTCTAGCAGGGGTGATGTTTATGCCACAACTGAGGGTGGCAGTGAGGGAAGACAAAGGTGTGGGTGACACAAAACTCCATGAGAATCACAGACAGTCCCTGTTTACCCAGCACACAGATCGAAATACCTCCCAGTGTGTGTCATAGTCAGCAAGGGGTCTGCCGTGCTGGGGATGATTTCCTGAAACTGAGACCTGCTGACACTCAGCCAAGCCTGGTCTGGAAAACCAAGAAGTCCTATTTAGTTTCTGTCACCGTTTTCTGAGCCACACTGATGGGTAATTAGTGACATATAAAGTTCTGTTGTTCTCTCTCATTTCCCTGGAAGATCCCAGTGTTGGTTTCCTGTGCTCCACAGTCACGACAACGTGGCTGAACTGAACGTTCAGTTTTAAATCAATGGAAAGGGCCCCTGTATCTTCCCGCCCCTTTCATTCCTCCCACACATAAAGACTATCTCCTTCCATCACGTTCTTCCTGGCCACCGAGCATGAAAGCGTTTGTTTGTTTTTGTGTTGGGTTGATACCTCTGGGAACCAATGGTGCCTCGCACTGTCCTGGAAAAGGTGCTCTGACACTGGAGCGCGCACTTCTCGGGTTCCAGGACCCACTGTTTTAGATTCTGAGCATTCTTGTAGCCCCAGAGGGAGAAAAAATAAGCCATGTTTCCTTGGGAAATGTATGTGTCTGGGCCACTGACAACATGACAATCTTAAACCGGATTTCCAGGCCTCTACAGTTACACTATGCCAGTAACAATATGTGTATTTAGACTCTGGAATCCAAGGGCACACGTGTGAAAATCCTAAACAAAGTGCACTCCATGAGTGTTCTTGGCTCTCGGGCTGAGCACTGGGGGTTGTTAGTCAGGCTCCTGCTGTGGTAATCGACTGCAGGCGAGGGTGTGCTCACACGGGGAGACTCGTGCTCTGCTCAACCTATTTCCTACGTTCAGGAGAATGGCTGTGGAGTGGCTGTAAATCCCACAGCAACTGGTAGGGTGGAGCACCACACTTTCAATACACGGAGCAGCAGTGCTCTGTCAGGCAATTAGAAGACAGAGCAAGGACGGCAGCTAAGCATTCATCACCTGCTACTTCCTCCTGTTGATCAGAACAAGCAGCACTCCATCACCCATGTCTGCAGAGCTGTCTGGTAGCCACTGGGGGGGACAGAGAAGACATGAGGCCCCTGCGTCTGAGCCTAACGCCTACTTCATTTCATGAGTGTTTTGCACAATTCAGGATATATTGCTGCTTTTATCAAAGTAGTCTCCGGAAGTTAAAAAAAAATGATAAATCTCTCAGCAAACACATGTAAATAAAATCAAACACAATTGTTATGAAATCTATTAATGAGGAGAGTAGATGGCAAGGCAGGCTGGAAGAATGACATGAGGGAAGTTTAGGTAGGTGGTGGGTAAGTAAGTAGACAGGTAGATGACAAATGGTGACAGACACATAGACATTCATGATGAAAGTGAAAAGGAAATGATTGCCAGATTAGATGCAGAGTTCATTGATGTCCCCACAAGGCGATCAAATAGTATTCCTAAGGATTAGTTTTCCTTGGGCAGAAATTCTCTGTGCTTCAACCAGACTTTTGAAAGATTTTTACCAGCTTCCTACAACCTCTGTAGAGGAAAGGGTGTCTGCTGTGCTGGACAGGGCCCTTCTGGTGACATCAACGAGACCCACTTTTCTAGCTTGTTTTCAGTTTGGGATATTAAACACTCACTTTGTAGATTAAGCCATTATCTTAATGGTTGTGATATGGAGCTAAATGCAAAAACAATCCTGTAGAAGACTTCAGAAGTTCCCAGCTCTTGCATGCTGTGTACAATGCATTTGGCAAATGTTGTGCCTTGTGCACCGGCTTCCTTAGTAGGGGGTTCCCTTGAAGCTCTTCTGGCCTGCCGAAGAGCCAGGCAAGCTAACTAAGCCTGTGTGTGTTCTAACTCTATCTGATATTTTCCAAGCAAATCAGCTTGGTATACGTTTTAGTAAGATGCTAACAGTCATTGCTAGTTTTGACTAAAAGGTCTTTGGGGCTTACCAAAGAAAGAGGTAAGAAGGTGTCAGAGTCCGTTTGGAACTCCAGGCAGTTGTGAGCTGCTACATGTGAGTGCTGGACACAGAACCTCTGTCCCTCAGAAGAGCAAAAAATGCTCTTGGCCGCTGAGCCATTTCTCTAGACCTTGGGCTTGGGGTTTTGCAGTGGTCCCTTTATCAGTAGGCAGAGCCCAAGATGCATCCCGAGGTGGATTTGGTCTCTCATGAAGTTAGCTGTTTATCTGCTCATCTTCTTGCTTGCAGGGCTTTTTCCGCCGAAGTATTCAGAAGAACATGATCTACACTTGCCACCGAGATAAGAACTGTGTTATTAACAAAGTCACCAGGAATCGATGCCAGTACTGCCGTCTGCAGAAGTGCTTTGAAGTGGGAATGTCCAAAGAGTGTAAGTGGAATCTCAAACATGAGATCCCCCCCCCCCTGTTTACCTTATCTACAACATGTTTGCTCAGTTTCTAAGATCAAATCATGAAGAATGTTCACATGTGACATTCAGATATGGTACTAAAGGCGTGCTGCCCTGGACAGGTATAAACAGAGATGACAAGAAAATAAGATAACCGTGAAGATTTCCTGATCAAGCTTGAATGATAGTTGGTGAAAACCGGGTCATAGGTGTTGTGGCCGCGGGTTCCATACGGGTTCCTGACCGGGTAGGGCTCCGGAGTCGACCGTCAGAGCAGCCATGCACTCCCTCATACCCTTGTCCTGACAGTGGGGATAACGGCCTTTGTAGCATGGGGATGCCTGAGATGAAAAGTCGGAATACTAGTGCAAGTATGAACTGCCTCTTTGTAGATGGTATAAATTTGTTTTGGAAGGAACATTTGGGCATTGGGGACACTGACATTTTTCTCAAGTTGGATTAATTTTTCTCTTCTAAGCCATTCCTTCCCAACAAAAATAACAAAAATATTTAAATAAACTAAAAATAGCTTATTGAGCCATAAACATCTGATAATAGGGAGTTGATTGTCTATGCATTAACGTAAACAGATGTCATAGATACAGATTTTGTTCATTATATTTTCTCCTTGATACTTTTACACAGAAAAGAATGTGATGGCATGTAGCTCGGCCAGCAGGCCTGAAACAGCATAAGGATGTGTCCCAGGTGAATGGCTTGGGTAGCAGGCAGAAAAAAAACCACAGGGATGAGTCACTAGGGAAGGTGCTAGAAGATGCTTTTGTCCTCCAAGAGCATGGGACAAGAAGCCAAGAACCCTAACCAGTCCATGATTTTACTGTGCATCAGAAGAGCTGTGCTATGAACCAAAGACTTTTCTTGGAGATTAGATCCGGGAAATCTAGCCCTATGGAGAAGCCTGGGCTAAGGAAAGGGAGCCCGGTGGCTAATAGCACAGCTCCAAGGGTGCCTGGCTTCTTCTGCTACCGATGCCAGGAACTGCAATGGCTGCTTCTCAGGAGTCACATGCATGCTTCTTAACACTGCTCCCGTACCTTCCCCTTTCCTCTCTGCTTGGTTTCTACTCTTTGGGATTAAGATTGACACAGTTAATCTTATGCCAGCCATAGTTCTCAGTTCCCTGCGTGTACCTAGGCCAGTCTCAAGACACACAATTCGAAACTCATTCTTAGAACAGACAGGTGTGCTGTTCTTCCCGACGCATGTGAACCAGAAATCATGTGTGCACAGGAAGTCATATGCAGGACAGAGTGGGCCCTCTAATGGAAGCAGGTGACAGAAAGCAAGTGACAGCAGCCCTGCATGCAGTGCCAGCCACCCCATGACCTTCACCTCCACCTGATTTCATTGTGTTCACCAAGGTACCCATTGTGGCCCTCGGAGCTGACGGCCTATCCCCAGGAACAAGCGTGGGCTGGGCAGCCAGTGTGAAGGGTTGTGTGCACACCACTCCCTCTGGTCAGCTCTGTCTGCAGAGAACAAATCACGTGGCCACTCACTTTCCAGCCACTTGATCTATCCAGACTCCTGAGCAAGTGAGTTACTAGAGAGCAAGAAATGTGGAGCTGTGACATTGATGTTCAATTATCTTAGGACTGACCTTTCACCCCTGCCGGGAAAAGCCTGCTGACCTGAATGACCATGTTATTTACATAAGTGACACCAGGAGGGTCACCTGATGTTCTTTTTCTTGGGTTGACACCCATGCCATGTTATTTACCCGGGTGACACTTGGCAGGTCACCTGATGACTCAGTTTTGGTCCTGTCGCCACGGAGGTCACATGCATTTCTGTGGGAGGATGTCAACTCAAACTAAGATTATAAATGAATAAATCAGAGGTGAACTTGGGGAAAATCAGTAGTTTCGTATTTGCTTTGTGTGGGCTGCAGACCCGTTTCCTGCTTGTGTTACTTAAAACCCATATCCGGCATCCCTGTCAAAACTGGCAGCTTAGTTGGCAATTAAAAAAAATAATGTTTACACCCCAGGAAAACTCAGCTTCAACTCTCAAGGAACTTATCACCTTAATTAGATTTAAAAATATAGAAATGGGAAGAAAATGGGATCATTATGTCCAACTACACAAAAATAAATACGTTTTTCTTAGAAGGAAAGTGGAAAGGAAATAAGTACTTGGGCTACAGAAATTGAGAGTCTAATGGAGTATTTTTAAAGCTGAAACAGAAGAAAGCAGACAAGTATGAGAATTGTAATCAATTATCCCACCCCATACATAATGAAGAGGAGCCCAGGGGTAATAGAAGCTTCTGGAATGTTAGAACTGAAAAGGGATCTTGGGGATTGGTTTCACTTGCTTGACACCTAAGTGCACCAGCACACAGAAGGACCAGCAGGTCACCCCAGCAATCCCTTCCTGTAGAAGGAGAACCAACTCTCCAGTTCAAGCCTGCCTCTTTTCCTCACCCCGTTTCTTGGCAACTTTAATACTCCTGTTCAGTTCCAGCCATGGAGCTTGTGGATTTGTTAGTTACTCGGCAAGATGCTGCCCAGGGGAAGGGCCTGAGATATGGCCAGTGTCCTCCAAGAGTGTGGAGCAAAAAGCCAGGCCCCTCATCCATAGTCCTGTTGTGGGTTGCAAGAGGTCTTAGATTTGATATGTAGAAAACAGAGTACCAGGAGAGGCCTAAGCCTGATGTCACTGATGTCTTCATCCCATGGCTGAGTGCTGCTGTCACCTTCCTTCTTGGGAAGCTATTCCTTGTGACTGACAAAGATGGTCACCAGCAGCTCCAGGCTTGCCTTCCTGGAGGAGGGAGGGAGTAGTGTCAGTGAGTGAGGGTGGGAGGGAGACAGAGACAGAGACAGAGAGACAGACCTGAATCATCGTCATGCCAGCACAGTCTAGGCTGGGTCCTGTTGGTCTGACTGAGTCAGACCCCTTTATGAACACATGGCTGTCTGTTGTCACTGGTATATGACCTATGCCAGCCCCTCAAGCCCAGGACTGAGGTTTACTCTACCCAAGTAAGTGGGCCAAAATCATGAAGAAACTATCCCTTAGCATGTAATAAAAAAAAAAATAGGAGTGAGTGGTGTAGCTAAGTGGAAAAGCCCTTGTCTAGTGTGCCCATGACACTGGATTCATCCCCAGAACTGACATGACATCATGTCTTCTATAGACATCAAACTCCATAGTGCTGATCTCAGACCATCCTTTAGTTCTTCATTCTGATTTTCTTTCTTAATTCCTTTTCTTTCTTTCTTTCTTTCTTTCTTTCTTTCTTTCTTTCTTTCTTTCTTTCTTTCTTTCTTTCTTTCTTTCCTT